CGGGTGGCTGTTGCTGACGGGGGAAGAAGCCTTCTTCATCTCCGTGCAGCTCTGAGGGGGGCTGTGCCGCGAATGGCGCCGGGGCAGTCGGGCAGAGGATGACTTAGCCCGTTTAAAAGCTGACCAGGGCCGTGTGGGCAACATTCAGCCATCGCTCTCCATCCTGGGCAGGATCCGGCCCCAGGGCAAGGACACAGCAGCATGCCTGGGCCCCGCGGGAGCCGTCGCCGTCTCCTGTGATGAACTTTCAAATGAGGCTCTTTGCTAGCTGTGGGGTCAGGATGCTGCCGCAGCCCTGGCGTCTCTTCTCCCGGGCTGCGGAGGATATGGCATTGCAGAGGATCCGGAAGGTCCTTTGCGTGGCTGAGAAGAACGATGCTGCCCGAGGGATTGCGGATCTGCTCTCCAACAGCAGAATGCGACGGGTAGGAATACACCACATCTCGTTACCGCATCCTGATAGCCATACAGGTCTGGCTTAGTTGGCTGGAGAGGGTCAGCTCACCAGGGCGACCGTGCAGCACAGTCCTGATCTTGGTTATAGTCAGTATCTTGTGTAGTAGCCCCTGAGCCCACTCTGCAGAGCTTGGCACGGGCAGTTTGCATCAGCATGTGCAACGTTTTGCACTGTTTTTGTCTCTGGCCACTTCTGACTGTGTGAGGGTACAAGAACAGCTTGCTTTTGTGGACAAAGACCACTTGCCCAAATGTATTTGTGAGTCTTGGACCCCTTTTCCTTGTGACTTAAGTCCTGTTAGAATTTTGCTCCTGGACTGCCTTCTCTGGGCACTGAGCTCCACAGTGAGGGCTCCCTGCATCATTCCTGGCTTTGCAGTGTATGCAAAAGGCTTCAGGAACTGAAACCATCTGTTGACATGTATCTCCCAGTCAAAAAGCGCCGCTTCTGCAGCGTCAGCAAGTGTCAGGTGTTTACTGAAGTTCACGTAATAAAGCAAAGATGGCCTGTGGTTTGGAGAGGAGGAGTTCAAAGATCTCTCCTCTCTGCTGCTTTGTTTTGTGACCTTTAAAGGTTTGCATAATTACTTGGTATTTCCATGCTAAGGAACTAGAAGGTGCTTCTAGGCCAGAATTATATTTGAATGAAAGGTGTTACTAAGAACTTGAGTGCTGACAGTCCCAATCAAGGGAGATATTGTCCTGCTACTGTAGAAAAAGCAGCAAACGCCCAATCTAGAAACTTCCTCGAGTCTCAGTTAGGTGGAGGGTAGTCTTTGGGATCAGGAGCTGGAACACTAATTGTCATTGGGAGCAGGACAGTTGTTTGTCAGGAATATAATTGGCCAGACCCATTAAACAAATCTGTTCTTCACTGTTTGTTGTCACTATCCATGGAGAGATAATCCTGGTACCCCCTTCAGGCATGGTTTAAAATACTCTTATGCTGGAAAGCACTATTTCACTGTCTTCATAAACGACACAGGCAATTTCCATTCACCCCAGCTTGCCTCTGTGTTTTGGCTACAGTACCTGGTTTTCACTTGCCCTGTGTTTCTCCATGCTCTTCCGTATAACAGCATGTATAAAGTGAGGCGGAACATGTTTGGTTTCTGTTAGCAGCCAGAAACTCAGCAACTCTCCTTTTCCTTCTAGCGAGAAGGGTTTTCCAAGTTCAACAAGATCTATGAATACGACTACCAGATGTTTGGCCAGGTAGAGTTTTCTTTCATTCTATTGCTGGATTAGAGAAGTGTAAGATACTAATTACTAAAAGCTATTTGTCAGAAGTTACAAAACACATATCCAATGATAGGGACTCTTTGTCCAAAGATGAAGAAAAGTCAGCTGTTCTTTTCTCAGCTCAACCACTGACTTGTTTCGTTGCTTTAAGCCTTTCAACTTTCTGGTTTTATATCAGTCAAAAATATGTTGCTGTTTAGAATTGGGAGCTTCCTACAAAAATTGAGGATAAGGCCATAGCTTTAGCTGTCAGCAGAGAGAAGAGCTTGTTATGATATTTTAGCAGGAGGGAGGTGTCACTGATCGTGTAAATTGAGAACTGCATCAAGATCTTGGGGCTCTAGGTAGTTTTTAGCAAACGATGGGCACTAATTACCTTGCTCTGTCTCTTGCAGAATGTTACTATGGTGATGACATCCGTGTCAGGACACTTACTAGCTCATGATTTTAAGCTGCCATTTCGCAAGTGGTTAGTACTTGGGGCCCCTTGGCGGGAATGGGGGCTCTCATATTCTGCTTTGAACCCTGAGCTGAGCGGGGCACTGCGAGTTCGAAGACTAGGGAGCAGGGAAGGACTCGAACATTGTGTGCAGAGCAGTGTGATGAGTACCAAATTTTATATAGGTTAGCTAAAATATTGTTTCAAATTACTGTCTTCAGAGCGCTAAAAAACCCCAAAGTCATAATACTGGTTAAAGTACATTAAGGCAGACCCAAGGAATTAAACTGATTCCAGATCTCGATTGATGTTTGTGTGTTCTTTGTTCAGCTAGGAGTTGCCCTGGGAAGTGAGGTGCTTTCTCTAGCTTCCCCCCATTTGTCCTCTGTACTTAAAATAAGAGAAGTTGCTTGTTTAGGGCTGCCTTCCAGATTTGCTGTTTCCTCTGGTTGCTTTTTGGTTCTAGTGCTTTTGAGTCTAACTCAGCATTTCATGTGAACTCTCTAAGACAAGGCCCGTAATAAAATATATTATTAATTCCAGTGCTTGAACAGCACTTCCTCACAAGACAGCACCAATTAGTGTCTCACCTCATACATTTTGGTTTTTGTTATGCACACTTTATCTTCTGTTCACCAGGCATAGCTGCAACCCTCTAGCTCTTTTTGATGCTGAAATCGAGAAGTATTGCCCTGAAAATTACATGGATATCAAGGTACGTTGTTTTTAAGAGTTTCCCTGAAACTCTGAGTTCAGAGGTTAGTTCTACAAATATTGCCTCAGACAGAAGGACGATTGTACCTTTGTCCTTAACGTCTGAGTGCCTGGAGTTTAGCAAATTCCTCCTGCATTTCCTAGGACTATATATGCTGTTCATTTGTGACGTTGAAAGTCTCCTGCTCATGTACAATTAGTGCAGTAAAGGAACAACTACTTTGCTAAAAGTAGAAATGTTTTTTCGAACAAGGTGGAATTGGTAGTTGTGTCTCAATTTTATAAAAAAAAGACATTTTCAGAAAACAGATTGTGGTACAATTCAATCCAAGCCATGCTTTTTAGCAGTTAGATGTAAATAAATGACTCAATTCTTTTGAAAGCTGCCTAATCTCATGAGAGACACAATTACAAAATGTAATTGCAACAATCTATCTCTATGGATACACGTTGCATTTAATGTTCAGTTAGTGAGTCATTCTAAAATTAAGTGACAAAACAAGTGGCCTGGTATGTCTCACTCTGCATTGTTTTCTCATCTCAGAGAACCCTTGAACGAGAAATCCAGCAGTGCCAAGCTCTGGTGATCTGGACTGACTGTGATCGAGAAGGAGAGAACATTGGCTTTGAGATAATTCACGTTTGCAAAGCTGGTGCGTGGAGCATCTTCTGCATCAATCCGAGTTCCGTTAAAGTGCTGATATAACAGATCTTGCAACAGAGGCATATCCGCAATCTTACTGTGTCCAGGTTAAATGTGTTGACTGTAGTTCCGATAAATATGTGGCTCTGACAGACCATAAATGTATTCAGCTATTGGAAAGCTATAGAATAGGTTGACAGCATACTCTTTTGAAGATAGCTGTTCATTAGTTGCTCCCTTCCATTGGTGTTTGAGTCGCTCTTTGATTTCTTCTTTTTTTTTTCTTTTTTTTTTTCTCCTTCTTTTTTTGTGTGTGTGACAGTAAAGCCAAACCTCCGGGTTTTCCGAGCCCGTTTTTCAGAGATTACGCTTCATGCTGTCAGAACAGCCTGCGAGAACCTCACTCAACCAGATCAAAAAACAAGTGATGCTGTTGACGTCAGGCAGGAGCTGGACCTCAGGATAGGTATGTAAAGACGTGCTGCAGATGAGAGTGGGCTGCTAGGCCTGAGCTTCTGTAAACACCCCTACTAAAGGGAAGTGAGCAAGAGTGTGGTAGGTAGGCAGGGGACAGCTTTGTTAGCACCGCATAGCTTATTGTCTATAAATACTTGAATTCCCTTAGACTGCTGTACAAACAAGGTAGCTACCCATCGGGCTTTTCCTCGCTTCTCGTCTAACCACATTGAATGCACATTGTTAAAGCCCAGCAAGGGGTGTTTAGAAATCATCTGTTGCCGTATCCTCGACACAAGACAGAAAGGCCCTCTGTAGTGTCGTAAATCTGATTTTTAGATCAGATACAATTAAATCACATCTCATGTTTTACTGGAAACATGCTCTTTGAAGCAAGTGTTAGGTTTATAGCTCATGCAGCACTGACAGCCTTCTGCTACTGTATTAAAGTTAGTTATATATTATAATTCTATTATATATTATTATATCTGCAAAGGGGTTAGGGTATAATATTAGGGTATAGAATAATACATAATATTATATTACAGTATCTGCAAAGTATTAAAATTAGAGTAAAATTAATACTCAGTATTAAAAAGAACCATCTGAAGTGGTGTGATTATCCTTCAATGTTGTATTCAGTTCTGGTGTCCACTTTGTTTTCCCAGGTGCTGCCTTCACCAGATTCCAGACACTGAGGCTCCGGAAGATCTTCCCTGATATTTTAGCAGATCAGCTGATCAGCTATGGTAGCTGCCAGTTCCCAACGCTGGGGTTTGTAGTTGAACGCTTTAAAGCCATCCAGGCCTTTGTTCCTGAAGTCTTCTATAAAATAAAAGGTATGCTTGGGGAAAGTGAGTCCTGGGCTCCATTTTAAAGGGTTTGACGTGTTTAGAAAGGGAAACCATCAGGGCAGCAAACAAACGATGCTGCCAAGGTGGTTTCCTCTTCCTTTGCCATGACCACTAAGCAGTGCTGAAAGGTTTCCCAACAGTGTGGCCTCACTGCCTCTGCTGTATTTCCATTGTATTACTGCTTCATCACTCAGATCTGTTGTTCCACACAGTGACGCATGACCATGAAGATGGCAGTGTGGTCTTTAACTGGAAGAGGAACCGGCTCTTTAATCACACCGCGTGCCTGGTCCTTTACCAGATGTGCATGGAGGTAGGAAAGCTTGTAAATAGCTGTATAATCTAGTATCAGCCAAACATTTCCTTCATCTGCCTTGCTAAAAACGTTTAAAGAACAGTTTGTATAAACTCAAAGGAGATTTTGCATTTTGCTTACTCTGTGCTTAGGATCCAGTAGCAACTGTTGTTGAGGTTGGGAGCAAGCCAAAGAGCAAGTGGAGGCCCCTACCCCTGGATACTGTGGTACGTTTGAACTATGCTGAAATGACTTAGCTGAAAGAAGCTTTGAACAGATATTTTACTCACCACTCTGAATTATGCAAAAATACTTTTTTTTTTCCTGGCTCCTCACAACACAGGAACTTGAGAAGCTGGCTTCCCGCAAACTGAAAATAAACGCAAAGGAAACCATGAGACTAGCAGAAAAACTCTATACTCAAGGGTAAGAAAGCAAGACTTGGCTTGGTAAACTTACTTCTTTCAAAAGTAAATGGCCTTTAGTCCAAAACGGGAAGCATCTTGGAGCACCTCTTAAAGTGCTCTTCTGTCTTTCTTCTCAAGGTTCATCAGCTACCCGCGAACTGAGACCAACATTTTCCCCAAGGAGATGAACCTCTCTGCCTTAGTACAACAGCAAACACAGGACCCAAACTGGGGAGCATTTGCACAGAGGATTTTGGATCAGGGTGGGCCAACCCCTCGGAGTGGAACCAAATCAGATCAGGCTCACCCTCCCATTCACCCCACAAAATACACTGCTAACCTGCAGGTGAGTTTAACAAAGGCAGAGATAACTGGGTCGTTTGTATTGCTTGATAAATAAAGATAGAGGTCTTAATAATATGGTCATTAACACACTATCCTCACCTGAGATCTCACCAATATTTCTTGATATCTCATTAACACAGGAGGACACTGACCCTCTCTTACTGTTTGATATTAGGGCAATGAGCAGAGACTATATGAATTCATCGTGCGCCATTTTTTGGCTTGCTGCTCTCAAGATGCCAAGGGACAGGAAACAACTGTGGAGATTGACATTGCTAATGAGCGATTCATTGCTCAAGGACTAATGATCCTGGCCCAAAATTACCTGGAAGTCTATCCCTACGAGAAGTGGAGCGATAAGGTAATACCCTTGAATAATGTAGATGGGAGAGGATAAATTACCTGGTGTTTAAAGTTGCACTTCACTGCCAACTTCAGATCCCTCTCCAGAATGTCCTTTGACAATTTGTGGCCCACTGGCTGTTTCACTCGGAGCCATGTCTGCTGCAAACCTATGCAGCTTTGTTGTGCCAACTTTGAATAGATCCTTCCTCTTCTGTCACCATAGCAGAGACCATACAGGGCTGTGGGGTTGACTTTACTCACCAAGAGGAGCTGCAGTTGGTCCTCTGTCGTCTCTCTGGCAGCTCATTACTGGCTAATCCTGAGGACCCTGAGACTGGATCGCCTCCAGAACAGGGTGCTGCTCTGTTACTGCACTGGCCTGCTGTTAGTGTGACATTTTGTCTTCAGTGAATGGACCAGAAGGCAGTTTCAAAGAGATTCTCCTTCCCTTCAGGTTATCCCACTGTATCAGAAAGGGTCTCGCTTTCAGCCCACTACAGTGGAGATGGTGGATGGGGAAACCAGCCCTCCATTGCTCCTCACAGAAGCGGATCTCATTGCTCTCATGGAGAAACATGGCATTGGTCAGTATTGGCAGCGTGGCCTTTCACTCTTGGGAGAGCTTTGCTCACAAGCTTCTTAACTTCTCTAACACCAGTTCTGTCCCACCCTCAGAGCAGGGAATTCTCTAAATGTCACTTCAGACAGGAGATCGCTTAAATGTACAGAACAAAGGGATAGCAGAGACCTGCAGGCAAAGCCCAAAGATCCTAAGGAGTCTGCAGAGTGCCTTCAGTACTGAGGGAGATGTGCAGTTTAGGGTCCAGGATGTGCCTGCCAGCACTTTGTTGGCCTCGGTGCCAGTGCGACATTAGGGCAGTGCTGCTCCCAATCATAAGTTGTCTCCTTGTCCCTTTAGCACCTTGCACTGTGCACTAGGCACAGGGGAGAACGCTTCTTGGCACCTTATTCGGCTAACAACCTGTCTGCTTTCAGGGACTGACGCCACTCACGCTGAGCACATTGAGACGATTAAGACACGGATGTATGTGGGCCTTACAGCGGATCAGCGGTTCCTCCCAGGCCACCTGGGCATGGGGCTGGTTGAAGGTAAGGGCAGTGCCAGTTAGGAAGATGGCAAGTTCCTTCCTTGTTCCTTCCTTTCACTTACCATGCAGTATGTTCCTCAGGCTATGATTCCATGGGCTACGAGATGTCCAAGCCTGACCTTCGAGCTGAGCTGGAGGCTGATCTGAAACTGATCTGTGAGGGGAGGAAAGACAAATCTGCAGTGTTGCAGGAGCAGATCCAAAAGTACAAGCAAGTCTTCATCGAAGCTGTGGCCAGAGCCACCAAGTGAGTCCTGTCTTTGCCCTTTTCTGTTTGCTTTGCTGTTCTGGGAGGTGCTGGCTTCTTGTCTGGGGCTCAGCCTGGAGTAGGATCCCATCACACTTTCCCTGGATCTCTGCCTGGTGTGTGTAGGCATTTGCATGGGAAGGGATGACTCTCAGCACGGCACACTGTCATGAGTTAGTGCCAACTAACGGCTCATCTTGGTTTAAATCCTTTAGCTTAAATTCAGAGCTGGCTGAAGGAGATAGCAACATGCACTGACCTCTTTCACATTGCACCCACACCTAGCCTGCTCCAGAGGCATGGTGCTGAATGAGCATACTCATGGAGAAGCTCAGAGGGGCTGTGTGGAGGGCAGCAGGCACCAATTCACTGCCCGAGTGCTCTTTGCAGAGGAGAAACATAGGATGCTCTGCTCGTTTCTTTATAGGTTGGATCAAGCTCTAGCTCAGTATTTTGGAGAAGCCACAGAAATTGCAGAACAAGAGGAGGTCTACCCAGCAATGCCTGCCTCTGTTCGGAAGTGTCCACAGTGCAACAATGACATGGTTCTGAAGACCAAGAGGAATGGCGGGTCGGTGATCTTCTCTGTTGTAGAAAGTAGCCTTCTGTGTTGGTTTGTGTCTCTCTAGGCATTGTTTGTTTACTTCCCCTCTGCAGCAAGCATGAAAATTTGAGCTGCAGCTAGCTAACTCCACCAGCTACCTAAACTGAACCTCCTTCTCAAGTACGTATTTGCCCTTGAAAATTGTTGTTTTGACAATTTGTGACTGTTAAGATGACAGGAGAACAGATCAGTGATAGTCTTGACTTTGCCTCTTCCTCATCCGGTGCCTTTGTCCCATGGCAGGTTCTATCTCAGCTGCACAGGCTATCCAGCTTGTAAAGTTGCAGTCTGGTTTCCTGATTTTGTGCTGGATGTGACCAGGGACGAGAGCATCTGCGCTGTGTGTAAACCACATCCAGTTCACAGGTAGGTCATACCAGTTATCCCTTGGGGAAACGCAGCCCTCAGATGTTACGTGCTAGCTGTCGGGGCTGGCCATGGACATGGGCTAGGCTGGGCAACCATTTTCTGTTCCAGTCTTGGAAAGCTGGAGCAGCAGTCTCATGTCTTGGAGATAAGAGGGATTGGGGAAACTGGTATAAGTATAGCAGAATTTTAAAACGAACAAACAAAACCAAAAAAACCTGAACATAGAAATTCAAGTCCAAATCAAGGTTTGTTGATGAGAAGTTATATGAGCTGTGAGACTTTTATTTTTCCTTTACTTTTAGACTGAAGTTTAAATTTAAGAGAGGCAGTGTTCCACCTGTGATGCCCCTGGAGTTTGTTGGTTGCATCGGAGGCTGTGATGAGATGCTAAAAGAGCTTTTGGACCTGAAGTACTTACACAGGTCGTCCCAACCCGCATCGTCGGGCAGCCAGCAAGCTAATCACTTGCAGGTCAACAACTCCTTTAACAGAGCTTGTGGCGAAAACAGGCACGTGAGGGGGACCGCCAACCTGGCACCAGGACATCTACTCCCCTCGAGTTCAACAAGAACACCCAGGCCTGCTCCCTCGGCTGCTCCAGATGACAGGAACAACGTAGTGGTGTGCAACTGTGGGAACGAAGCCCTGCTGTTAACTGTGCGCAAAGAAGGGCCAAATCAAGGCAGGCAGTTTTACAAATGCAGTGCCAGTACCTGCAACTTTTTTCTCTGGGCTGATCAGCAGTCAGAGGACAGAAGCAATGCAGCTCCGCAGGGCTCTGTGTTGCCCCAGCTCTTTGCAGAAAGGGGCCCAGCAGGATTTCAGCGCCCAGGAGGAGGGAGAGGCCCAGAGCTCTTCAGAAGCAACGGCTCCGATGCAGGAGGCGGAACAGTCTGCAAGTGTGACCAGCCAGCTGTCACGCGCACAGTCCAAAAGGACGGGCCCAACAAAGGGCGGCAGTTCCACACCTGCTCTAAACCCCGGGAGCAGCAGTGCGGCTTCTTCCAGTGGGCAGATGAAAATGTGGCACCAGGTAAGGCTGGGCTTGGTGTGAGACGCAAGGGTTGGAGGCTTTTCTTGAAGTGAAACTGAACGTGCTTCTCACACGTGCGTAACACTACCACAGCATGACAGCTCTTGCAGCAACTCGTACACTTGACAGACTTCAGGTTTGTCTTTAGAACATCCGTCAGCAGCGTTACAGCACTTGAAATGTTGCTTGTAACAACAGTCTGGCTTACCTTTCCAAGTGCTAGCAGACTACGTCCTCATAGCACACACCTGCTGAGTGCCGAGCAGGATGCTTTGCTTCTACGTGCAGTAAGCTTGAGCGTCTGTCTGTGACT